GTCTTCTGCTCCCTCAGCTTCAGGTCTTCCAGTGACTCAAAAATAATTCATAAGAAGGACAAGCACTAGATAATCATTTGATATTCAAGGATTGTGTTTTTTTTTAAAATCTAGCAATCAGCATAGCCCCTGACCAGAGAGGAAGGTGAATCTAGTTCCCTTGGACAACCGTGCCTTCTAAATGTTCTTGTTAGTATAACCTATAATCAGAGTTGATGGTTAAAGTTGTAGCAGCAATATTTGGAAAGTGGGATGCCTAAATGTCTATTCTGTAATGAAAAAATATATTATTAGAATGGGAAAGATATGTTTCATTAGTTGGACTTAAGTTTGAAATAATTCGATATATAACTATAATTTTTCATTTTTAGGTCAGGTGTGTATCAACTTTCCTTCCCCCCCCCACTTCATTTCTTTTAAGTCATGTTTTTGCCTATCTTATCTATTTCTTTAGGAATATCTGTAAAGGTCAGAACATATTTGAGGAATATTAACTCAGCAACAGGCCAAAAAAAAAAAAAAATCCTTGTGAAAGACCAGCAGAGTTTTCTTGCCAAGGAAGGGTAGAAACTTTTGAGATTGGGTCCATGTGGACTGGAGGAAGGTTGAAATAAGCCTATGAGCTGACGAACTCCTATCCTTGCTTATATCACTTGTTCTAAAGTTACTAGGGTACTTGTAAAGGGGCTCCTCCTAAGTCTTAGTGCTCCAGATTACAGCTAGAGATTGCAGGATGGAAGGCTGGCTTCCGCTGAGTTCATTCACAAGTAGGTGCTGAAAGCTATTGGTTCAACAGCACATGATGTAAGTGCATTTAGCAAAGAGTACATCACACTTGTGCTTGAGGTGGCATGTTAAAAAGACTCATCACAACTTCCTAAATGAGTATACTCTCCTACATGTAACTTAATGAAAGAGACTTTACAAAAAAGTTAGGACTCCCTTTAAAGAAGGATCAATCTTTTGCAAATGCAAAAGTGGAGTCCTATTCAAACAGGATGGAGGGCAACCAGGTTATTTCCTGTATGTCTTAGGCTGGGACTTACTTTGGATGAAAGAGCTTAAAAGTGTTTTTAATTATTTTTGTTCCTGAAGTTGTACTCAAAATATCTTTATTCATTTTACAATTTTTGAAGAATGGTAAATCATTACATATCCCAGGGAAAAAGAGATTGAACATGTTTTACTGTTGTTTCTTATTCTGGAGGTTATAGGGGATTGGTAAATGAAGTGATATGACTGCAGAAAACAGTGCTTATATCCATCCATCCATCCATTTCCAATTGCCAATACAGAAAGAAGGAAGAGTGATCGATAAAATGAATATTTGTTCACCATTTTCTAATATAAAGATCTCAGGCTTAAGTTCACTGAGTTATTTTGGGGCAAATGTTCTGGTGTTCTTTCTAAATTTTACTTTACTCTGCTAAACAAGTAATTCCCTCAACACTGTCCAACTATTTACAAAGTCTGCACTACTATTACTGTTAATCTTTTCATCACTTCTTATCACCCATTCCCTCCCACTTGTGACTGTATGACTGTAACTTTGTTGCTTGTATCCTTATGTTTTATATTGATTGTTTCCTAGTATGATTTGATTGCTTATCGTACCCTATGACTATTATTAAGTGTTGTACCTTATGATTCTTGACGAATGTATCTTTTCTTCTACGTACACTGAGAGTATCTGCACCAAGACAAATTCCTTATGTGTCCAATCACACTTGGCCAATAAAGAATTCTATCTATCTAAATTAACACAGAAAGGATCTTAAAAAAAAATCACCTGTAATTGTACTTTTGTAGGATTACAGTATTTCAATGTAGAATACACTCTTGGTTGTATTCTACTACAACTTTGCTTTCTTTGACATATTTCAACTGACAATTAAAAGTAAACATTAATTGAAGTTAGTTAATGAAATTAATATACTTCTCTTCAAATGTACTATTATTCTTAGTTAGCTTATATGTGAACATATGAAGTTGCTTTGTTCTGGGGTGGCTCCCTGGTGTTTTCAGCTCTAATAATGATTTCTAGCCTATTAGGTAGACTCGTCAATCGTAATAAAATAAGATAGAATCCCAAGATTCTTTAAATGCTTATTTTGGTTGAAGCTGTTGTGGTCTGCAGTTCATTTCATTAAATCGATGAACTGTCATATTGAATTAAGCATTTATGCAGCATGACTATAAGCCAGCACTGCTTTACACACAAAAAGCTTTCTAAGTCCTGACACCTCTAGGTTGAGCCTGGAGAAAGGATTTTGCATGAGAATTACTGACAGGTAGATTAAACTGGGAAATTAAAAAAGACAAGACCCAAAAGAAAGCAACATCAAGCCACTTTTTCCAACACTGCTAAGAAAACTGTATTGGTATAGCTATTAGGAGTTGAGCTTAATTCAAAGGCATTTTTATTGATCAGTTAATTGGTTAACTGGTTGTCTGTGAGGATCAGCAGGTTCTGATCAGTTCTGGAGAACCGGTAGTGGAAATGTTGAGTAGTTCAGAGAATCAGCAAATACCACCTCTGACTGGGGATTTTACAGTATCCTTCCCCTGCCATGCCCACCAAGCCATGCCCAGAGAACCGGTAGTAAAAAAATAATTGAATCCCACCACTGGACCATAAAGCTATATGTTTTTTTTTTGCATCTGTCAACTGCTCTTGAAATTTAAAATCCAGCAGAACCTTTTTGCCTTCAAATTTTAAAAATTGTGGCAAAGTACCAATTGATTGATTTTATTTAAAAGATTTATATAGCTGCCCATCTTAAGCAACTCTGGGCAACTCACAATACAAAGTAACCTGAAAATGCTGTAAGATGAACATCGACAGTTTTTTCACAGAGCAGTGGGTGTTGCTCACAATAGTTCATCCCCTCTGTACAAAGGACAGAGAACAATTTCAGTTCTCATTGGAGAGGAGAATGAAGGATAGTTTGTACACATGAAGTATCTGCAGATATTACCATGGTATAGTCAGTTCCCACGAAGATTGCTGATGATTCACCTTGGGAGTTGTATCCCCCCCACTACAAACACACAGCCTGGCATGGAGACTCCTGATGTATCAAAGCAGACAATCCTTCACTTCATTACGGAGCTGACTTTTCCGCCCCCACCAACATCATGTGCCCCTGTGTCCTTCCTCTCCTCTCTCCCCATTCTCAATCAGGGACAGTTTCTCTTTGTCGCTCTGAGCCAGGAGCTGTAACATGTGCCAGTTTCCTGAGCTCCCTCCATCTCTCCTCTCCTTCTGGATACTGTCAGAAAAGAGATCTTCATCTCTGGGCTCTCTCTAGGCACGGTGCCACCTAGGTTGGGAGCAGTGGCCTTCCCTCCCTGAGGTGTAATGTTGTAGATAATGATGCGTGAGAGAGAGAGAGAGAGAGAGAAGGGTGAGGGTGAGAGAGAGAGAGAGAGAGAGGGAGAGTAGGAGAGAGGGAGAGAGTAAAAGAGAGGGAGGGA